GGGGGCATTTGTTCACATCTCATCATTGTATTTTATTTTCCTTGGTCCTGAATTAAGCAGGAATCCTGACAGACATGTCCTATGCATGTTGACCAGGCCTGGTTTGTGCATCATCTTAATGAAATCCATTTTAGACTTCTCAGAGGTTGTGCATAGAATGAGTTTAGAGATCACCCTTATGGCTGTCCCTTTTTGTAGCCTGAGTCTCTGCCCGTGTCACAGTCCATCACCATTATGTAAAGTGTGAGACAGCTCAAAATTGGGGCTGAAAGGCTCCATGAAGTTACAGAGCACAGTGTACCTGAGTTAGATTTTACCAGCATTCTTCTAATACCGTGACAGGTAGACTGGAAAGAATGCGCATACCCTGAGTCAGCCAGGGGCCTGTGAATGCCAGCTCCGCCACACTCCAGATGTTCAATCTCAGGAAAGTACTTAACCTCTCTGTGTCTCTGCTTTCTCACCTGTAGCATGAATGCAGTAACACCTTTTCCTACAACCTTACACTTTGGAGGCTCAGGGATTATGCACACAAACCAGGTGCACTTACTCTGCCACATGGAAGTCCTTTCTCTGTCACCATCCTTTCTAGTGTCCCAAAGTCCATTGTCCGTGTATCCTTCTCTGATTCTCTTTGTCATTAGCAGGCACAATGGAGAACAAACTACAGAATAGCCTGATATTTATATCTGTAAATATGCTTTGCCAGTTATCACAGAAGCTTATAGATTGAAGGGGAAATGAGTCCTTTCCATTGCTGAGGGGAGAGGGTGTCAGTGACGCTGAGCCTGCTTTTATCCCTGAAATTACCTGCTGAACTGTAGAGGAAGGATGCAGAAAAGGAGTAAGGACACTTCACCAAAGACATTCAGATGGCCAACAAACACATGAAGAAATGTTCAAAATCCCCAGCTCTAAGAGAGATGCAAATCAGAACAACTATGAGATATCATCTTACCCCAGTAAGAATAGCAAAATTTGACAGAATAGCAAACAGCAAATGCTGGTGAGGTTGTGGAGAAACTGGAACCCTTATTCACTGTTGGTGGGAGTGTAAAATGGTGTAACCACTATGGAAGGCAGTATGGCGCTTTCTCAAAAAGTTGCAAATAGAAATACCATTTGACCCATCAATTCCATTACTGGGAATATATCCTAAAGAAATCATAACTGCTACCCAAGCAGATATATGCACATCCATGTTTATCATGGCTTTCTTCACAATAGTAAAGAGTTGGAAACAACCCAAGTGCCCACCAGCAAACGAATGGATATTGAAGCTCTGGTATATTCACATAATGGAATACTGTGCTGCTTTGAAAAACAAATAACTCTTAAGATATCATACAAAATGGGTGACCCTGCAGGACATTGTGCTGAGTGAAATATCTCAATCACGAAAGGACAAATTCTGCATAGTGCCACTGTTGTAAAACGGGACTGACATTGGGCTTGGGGGAAGACTGAGAAAGATAGGATAAATTATGTATACTGCATTGAAACAGATGAAGGAAAGAACTGTTTAAAAGGGCTACGTGATTAGGTATGATTGTCATGACAGGAGTCCAGAACAAAGGTTTCATAGTGGAGTGGACTTGGGGGGAGGTATTGTATAACAATGAAAGAATTTTTCTTTTACTCTTTAAAACAAAGGCTGCATAGTGGAGTGGACTTGGCGTGGAGGGATTGTATAACAAACAAAGACTTTTACTTTTAAAGGAGAAGAACGAACTGCGGTTGGGTAGGTAGGGCAGGGAGAAAGGTGCAACAATGAATGAATGGAAATCCAAAGTCTCTGTAAACTTTCATTAAAATTAATAAGAAAAAATAAAAAAGGAGTAAGGATCTAACTTCTGTGTCTTAAGATCAAGTTCCAAAGACCACAAACACTGGGGTTTCTCAAATGCAGGTGGCAGAGCTGGTCCAAGGGCCTGTCAGAGAAAAATTCTGTTTGTGGGTTCTCTTGGAAATCTTTTGGAAGGATGATCGAAATTATGTTAGTCGTTATTTTAAACTTTCGGTGAGGTTATTTCAACCTTTAAAGTTAATTATATCAACTAGTCTAACACAGGGAGTACTTTTCAATAAAATAATTTGCCACTACCGACAACCAGGGTCCACTGCCATTGGGTCAGTTCCAGCTCCCAGGGACCCCACAGGGCAGAGAACAGCTGCCTCCTGGGGTTCTCGAGTCTGTAGTATGTTTACGGAAGCTGGCTGTCTCAGTTTTTACGTCAGAACAGCTGGTGAATTTACATTCCCTACCTTTTCTGTTAGCACCCAAATTCCTTAACCACAGCACCACCAAAGCTCCTTCAGAGTGGAGTTAATTCCTTTGTAAGAGACTATATTGCATAAGGGGCAAAAAATTTAAGAATAGTCAAATTAAAAAAATTATTTAAATTTCAATTTAAAATTTAAAGAATTTTAAAATTTCTTTAAAAATTAAGAATTGTCAAATTTAGAATAAATTTTAAAAAGATGAAACATTTTCATGCTTACTCAGATACAACTAGGTGGTCTCTCCTTTCCCCCCACCTTGGGTTAAAATACTGTTTTTCTGCCTGGGTACTCAATAACTCATTGCCATCAAATCAGAACTGATCCATAGCTTACCATCCAGGGGGGTTTTCAGTGGCTGTAAATTACACAGGAGGAGATTGCCCATCTTTTTCCCACAGAGCAACTAGTATGTTTGCCTGCTATTGGGTTGGCAGCACAGCTCCATACTCTCTAGACCACCATACGAGGTAATAGAAAACATTTGTTAAGCCCTAAACACTTGAATCATACTCAGCAAAGCATCTTTCATTGTGGGCTTCGCTTCAGAGCTGAGGCTTACTGACAGAACAGTAGGTTCAAATTGCTTCTCTCAGTCTCTGGTGCCTTGAGGGAATATTAGCAGCCCAGGTTCATTATTGAAAGATTTTTTTGTTTACTTTTTTATCTTTTTTCTTTGAGCACCTGTCGAGTTTATGTCTATACTGGTGTAGTCTCTAGGGAATTGTGCTGCTAACCCAATAGGGCCCCTCTCTGGTGGTTCGAATTCATCAGGCATTCTGAGGGAGAAAGGTAGGCATTCTTCTTCCAGGCTCTTTGGAGCCTTGGAAAACTCACTGGCGACTCCGTTATGAGTCATTTCCAATTTGGCAACAATGAGAGATACACTACACAGACAATTCTTTCTTGTTTTTGTTGAATGCTTTGTTTGTTTTGATGAGTAAGGTTTAAATATTACACTGACTTATTTTTGTACCTCTGGAGAAGAGAAGATAAAGTACATCAAGCCCTATATTATGTCTGGCATAGAGTGGACAGGCAATCCGTGCCGCACCCCCCCCCCCCCCCCCCCCCCCCCCCCGCCCCGCCTTTTCCCTTACCCGCCTGCTCTAGTCTTACAGCTTCAGTGTTTACCCAGTTGTCATTACATTCACAGCACCCTGGCCCTGTCCTCTCTATGAAATCACAGTCCATCTCAAGAGAAACAAGTTTAAAGTGAGGTCTACCAATTTCCATTCCTGACTTTGAGCTTGTCACCTAATTAAATGCAAATCTTCAGCACAAGTGCTTTTTAACTTTAACTCTCATGCCTTTGGCTCATTCAAAAAATCATATTATCTCGACAACAGTATAATTATTGAGTCCAATTTCAAGAAATAAAACTAAAAAGTACCGGCTGTTTATGAGCGAGGGAAGCAGTTGTTGAAAAGGTACATAGAGTCCCTGTTTTCTCAGAACTTACAGTCTGTTGGGTACAAATGGTTAAGGGCTCATCTTCTAACCTGCCCGTTCAAACCCACCCAAAGACTGCCTGGAAGACAGGCATGGTGATCTGATTCTTAAAGGCCACAGGGATTGAAAACCCTGTGGAGGACTTCTGCTCTGCACACACGGGGTCCCGGTAGTCAGAATCAATGAAGTGGCCATTTGTAACAATAGCACCAAAGACCAGTGAAAACATACAGCATACCAGGAGGGACTTGGCAAATGTAAATGCAGAGGCTGATTTTGAAAATTTTGTAAAAGCATAATTTTCTTTACCACCAAAATCAAAGTTCAGTAATTTTCTTTTATTAGAATCTAAAACATTCAAAATTACCACTGTTTAAGTAATGTAAACCAAATTTTCAAGTTTTAGTGAGTACCATCCCTTGGTAATGCAGTTTCTTTCTTTTTTTCTTTTTAGTTTAGGTAATAGTCCACACAGAGTTGTGCTGCTAACCCAGAGAGCACCTCTGCTGGCAGGAATCCACCAGCCAGAAAGGTGCACTGTCTCCTCCCATACAGCTTACAGCCTCTACAAACTCCCCCAGAGTCTCTCAGGGAAGGGTCAGATCTGAGTCACCTTGAGCCAGGGTTTTGCACTAACACTGTTGCATGGAAAACACAGTATTTCTAACCTTAAAAATAAATAAATAAAGGAAATGTCAGAATTGAAATGTAAAGATTAAAAAAGCAACTCCCTGTGTACAGCTTAACTAGAGGTTATCCTTTGGAATTGTTATTAGGTGTCATCAAGTTGACCACCATCTTTTGAACAAAAGATCTGAGCCTTACTCTCCCTGAGATGCCCGAGCCCGTTGTTACCGTCTCTGTGCCAAACCATCTTGTGGGAAGTCTTTCTCTGACCGTCCATCTTTCCCAGCATGATGTCCTTTCCAAAGCCTGTCCTCTCCTGACAGCATGTCTAAAGCATGTGAGAGGAAGTTTCACCATCCTTGCCTCTAAAGAGCTCCCTGGCTGTACTTCTCCACTGTAGACACTTTTGTTCTTTTGGCAATATGGGATATTCAGTTCTCTATTATAACACCACAGTTCAAAGACACTGATTCTCTGCCATCCATATTCATTGTCCTGCACTGAGATGTATATGAAGAGTTGAGATATACAGTTGGAATTGTGTTCTTGGTCAATCTTCATGGACTGATTAGTGTCAGTTACGGAAATGTTTTATGGGTGTTTTATTTGTTAATGACTCTGCATTATCATCTTTTTTTCAGGCCCTGTAGGAGTAGGGTTAAATGAACTGAAAAGAAAGCTGCTGATCAGTGACACACAGCACTATGGCGTGACAGTGCCACGTAAGTCCTTTACTGTTCTCCTCCACTCTTACTACTGACCATCATTGCTATTCCTTTCCATAGCAGGTATGGTGCCAAGCAGCGTCTAAGAATTTACTCACCTGGACCATATAATAAATCTATGCTGCATATCATGACAGGAGCACCCTGGTGTGCTAGTAGGCTAAATATCCCACTGCTAATTGAAAGGCTAGTGATTCGAACTCACCACCTACTCTCAGAGAAAGATGAGACTGTCTGCTCCAGCCTCGGAAACCCAAGGCCGTTCTACTCTAACCTACAAAGTCACTGAGTCAGAATTGACACAACAGCAGTAAATTGTTTTGAAATGGGGTGGCCTCTATATGAAGCCCTGGTGAAGTAACGTGTGAGGTAGCCAGCCGTTGGTTGAAAGGTTAGTGATTTGAATCCATCAGTTGCTCCAGAGAAGCAAGACAATCCATCTTCTGCCATGAAGATTTCCAGCTTAAGAAACCCAGTGGAGGTTCACCTTGAGTCAGCACCATCACTGGAACAGTGGGGAATTTGGGGGAGGTACTCTGTGATGTCTGTATTTTAGTGGGAGCTCTAATGGCATAGTCTGTAGGGAGCTGCAGAGACAGATAAGCCGTTTCCTCTCATAATTTACAGCCTCTGAGAACCTGCTGGAGAGTCAGCTATGAGTTGGTTCTGACTCCATGACAATGATCTTGACTATTTTTCTGGGAAGAAAACTGAGACACAAGAGGTTAAGGGGCTAGCTGTGGTGTGCACAGCTGATTATTAGCAGGCTGTTTGATAATCAAAGCTTCCTTGCTCTCATATTCTCATGGTGTATTTTAGTGCACATACGACATCAAAGTGTCTTTAACAAATTTTTAAAGAAAAATTTTGCTAGTATTCTGTTTCCTAAAATAAGTCCTAATGTTTTCCAGAGTTTTTCACCAAGTCACAGAGAGAGGAAGGAGACTTCTTAGGACATAAACCTTTCTTAATTATTTTTTATATGTAGTAATTGGCAGGTAGTGTTAAATGGGACTTTCATTGGCATACAATCTAAATATGGCAGGTTTCTTTTCAGTACACAGAATTAGATCTAGTTTTATAAAAGTTGTTTTCTCAGGCATTCTTACAAATGAAATGTGATGTTGGAAGCATTTTGATCTCCAGAATAAATGCCATTTGACTACTTAATATGTTGATGTTAGGAAAGCCGTCTAAAAGGCTAAATTGCAATGTTGGCTTTTTCAAGTGGTTTTAGCACTGTTAAATGTGAGAGAAAAAAATGCATTTGTGTATTGCCCTTAGCAATGTTCTTTAGTTTTGGAAGAGCTCAACTTTATTTTAGAATCATAGTTTTCTATTACCTCAAAGCTATTTCTTGTTACTACATTTTCCCAAATTATTGTTTGTAATACTTTTCGGCCATAAGTTATAGGATTGCTGGTTTCCACCAACAGAGATGAAAGTAAAGGAAAAATGTGGAAATAGGTTTCTTTATTTAAAAACAACAAAAAAAAAGTTAATCATTTACTTCTCTAACATATGTAATGAGATAGTTTTCTAGAATATTAGGATTGCAGGTAAGCAATTTATAAAGGAGATCTAGAGGATAGGAGGCAGATATAAGGAAATATTTTCTACTGAGTCTTCATCTCCTTAATGTGCCTTAAATTTCTTAATCCTTTTATAAGGTGAATATGAATAGCTCCATTTCTCAGAGAAGTAAATAGAGGTTGAAAGGATACTTTGACTTATTCAGAGTACAACAACAAGTGACAGTCAAACCTGGATTTGAAACAAAGACTATGCAGAATTGGGAACCACCGTTTCATTTCAGTTTTCCCCCCAACCCCACTGAGAATTTGCATGTCCCACCTCAGAGATAAGAACTCAGAATCTACATTTTAACAAGATTCCCCAGTTGACCTATAACAGTCATCTAGTGGGAAGAGCCAGCCCGTATTTTTTTATTTGCTTCTACCTGTGAGAAATCTTATTCTTGATAAACAGCATTAATATTGTTTTCAAGCTCTAGGTTATCAACAAATCTAAAAGACTTCACGTAATCAGCCTTCGGAAGTCACTTAATAAAAAAAGTAGTTTTTAAAAGATAATGTAGTAGATACCAAACACTTGATGAATTCCAAAGTCCTTGTAGTCTGGAACCTGGTCACTGCAATCCCATCTGCTAATCACTTGTACAGCTTCTCATGAAGAGTTACAGAAGTCGTATTTTCATGATGAGAACAAGGAAAGTGGACATGATAGGCATATATCACACCTTCATAACCCTCAGGTTCTAGAGTTCATAGGATGTCTTAGCTGTCATTTCTAAAATCACAAGATTAGAAAGTACCCATTTGGAAAAAAAATACAAGGTTTGGGATGGTTTTAACCTTTTTCACCCTGACAGTTATTCTGGGATTTTATTGCCTTTCGGGACGGAGCGTGTTTCCCGTCTGTCTTGCTGTAAGCACAGTGTGTTCAGACAGTGAGCTGTGGCAGTGTACTCACCTGCCAGTATTTTCATCTTACTAACGTCAGGATTTCCTAGTGTTAACAACTTTGTATAATGTACAGCCTTGCAGTTGTATGCAGAAATTCTCCATCAGTGACAAGATGTCAGACTGGATCATTCAGACTGAGTGTGAGACACAGACCTGTTTCTTTTTAAATGTATTTGGTAAATTCATGAATGTATTGTTCCTAATACATTCCCTAATGTGGTTCCAAATGTTATCTTGTAAACCTCCAAGAAGACTCTATACACAGAGTATTGATTCAAAGTGTTTTGTCATTAGAAATGAGTGAAGACAGTGGTTTTGGGATTTTGGGGGGTTTTGTTTTATTTTCCTTTCTTTTCTCAAATTAATAGATAACAAATTATATCCTAAGAAATTCTTAATCTTGGTTTCAGCAATATTTGTTCAAAGCTTACTATGCTATTATTCCTTTGTTGGCTTATTGGTAAGGAGTTGTGCTCCAGTGCAGAGGTACACTGTTCAAACCTACCAGCTGCCCTGTGGGAGAGGGATGGACAGTCCCCTCCTGTGAGATTTATTGCCTCTGAAAATTTGCCGGAGGGCCAACGATGGGTCGGTTCTGATTTGACTGTACATAACTACTGGAAGAAGTTTAGCTAGGATACTCCTCAGAAGGGAGGATGGTGGGACTTCATCTCACATCCTTCAGGCATGCTATGAGAGTCCCTGGTGGAGGAAATCATGCCTGGTATATGGTCAGAAAAAAGAGAAGATTGATGAATTGATGTAGCTGTGGGCTTAGCACAGCAGTGATGAGAATGGCAGAGGGCTGGACAGGGTTTCTTTATATTGCTGTGGGTTGAAGCTGACTTGACAGCACCTAACACCATTGTTTGCTAAAGGAAACTCCAGCAAACAGCAATTTAAGTTCGTAGAAAAGGAAGTTAGCCCAAACTCTAAACAGGACATCCTACTGGATGTAACCTCTCTCATGCATAGTCAAGTTTTCTGCTGTATAACGTATCCCTGGTTTTTATGATATAATGAAATTTATCAGGACTTTGTTCTGCTTCTGTGAGAAAGACTTTTACACAAAGAAGAGCAGTAACTCTTGGTGCAAAAACATTCTTAATTAAAGGTTGGAAGGTCAATTATATTCTAAAAGAGGATGTTTGTAACTTGACAAAGGAGGAGCAAATAGCACATAGAAGTCATTGCCTTCATTCTGTTACAAAAACAAAATGTTGAAGGCAGACCTCACTATGTACCAGTTACCGAAGATAGTAAGACAAATGCAGTTTACCTTACATGGAGTTACTTCAATACAGACAAATAAGGATAATAGCATAATACTTGAAAAATAAAGATTTTTTTTTCCAAGGGTTGAAATACTATTTTCATTTAAGGAGTATTTTTTTCTGTCATCCTTTTATAAGATGATTTATTATCATTAATAATAATAATAATAATTTTTAATGAGTTTACAGAGACTTTGGATTTCCATTCATTCATTGTTGCACTTTATTCCCTACCCACCCTTCCCCCTAGTTTGCGCTTCTCTTTAAAAAGTAAAAGAAAAATTCTTTCATCGTAATACAATCTCTCCCCCAAGTTCACTCCTCTGTGCAACCTTTGTTCTGGAATCCTGTCATGACAATAATCATATATCCCTTTTAAACAGTTCTCTCCCTCATGCAGTGTACATAATTTATCCTATCTTTCTCAGCCTCCCCCTAACCCCGATGTCAGTCCCGTTTTACAACAGTGGCATTATTTGTCCTTTCATGACGGAGATATTTCACTCAGCATAATGTCCTCCAGGGTCACCTATTTTGTATAATGTTTCATGAGTTCTTTGTTTTTCAAAGCAGCATAGTATTCCATTGTGTGAATATACCAGAGCTTCAATATCCATTCGTTTGTTGATGGGCACTTCGGTTGTTTCCAACTCTTTACTATTGTGAACAAAGCCTTGATAAACATGACTGTGCATATATCTGCTTGGATGGTGGTTGTGGTTTCTCTGGGGTATATTCCCAGTAGTGGAATTGCTGGGTCAAATGATATTTCTATTTGAAACTTTTTGAGAAATCGCCATACTGCCTTCCATAGTGGTTGCACTATTTTACACTCCCACCAATTGTAAAATGGTGCAACCACTATGGAAGGCAGTATGGTGCTTTCTCAAAAGGTTGCAGGAATGCCATTTAAGGAGTATTTTTAAAAGTTATGAAAATATAAGGGCTAAGAGCACAGACACAGTGCAACTTAATATTGAATCCATATTTGAATTAATATAGTCTTAACATCAAAGTGTGGCTTAATGGCACTTTATTTTATTACTCTAAGTTACTTTTTAAAAAACTTTAATCAAATACACTTGATGATTTCTTTTGTAAATTTTCCTTAAGGTGACTGGTGTGGGTTTTCTTAACTCTTTATAAATTAAACCGCAGACACTACCAGAGCGAGAAGAAGCCAGGAGAGTGATGGCGTTGAATACATCTTCATTTCCAAGCATTTGTTTGAGACTGATGTTCAAAATAACAAGTATGTGGAAATACAAAAAAAATGTTTGTGTGACTGGTTTTTAAGCATGTGCCCATTTATTCCATTTTAGACAATTGGACGTTTCCCTCCTTTAGAAATGTGGTGTATTTTTAATTATAGAGCAGTAAAATGATGACAGTATGGTTCTTAATGTCTATCCATTTTCATTTCTCACATCTGATAACCTGACCTTCTGCATTTCTGTTAAGTGAAACATAAAATAATTATTTTGTAGAGGGAGGAAAGGTGGCTAGCAAATCACTATGGTCTTCAACCTCCCTGATTGAATCCTATTATATAATCTAAATAGAATGGGTTTTTAAAATTTTTTATTTTATGTTGGTTCTCACTGTGTTTCACACTATTCTTCATTCATATTGTTTCATACAATCATTCCCATGCATTATGTTTTAATTAATCACCATTGGACTATGCCCACCATTATCCTATCTTTTCCAGTCCCCCATTTCCTTTAGCCCCTCCACCCACCAAATTGTGCAACCCTGTGATTTCTCCCCTACCCATCCTCTCCTCTTATTTTAAAAAATAATTAACTATAATTTATCCCTATGGAACACAGTTCTACTCTGACACACAGAGCATCACCATAAAGAATCAACTCAGTGGCAAGTGGTATTAATCTCTTGAATTCTATCATAGTCTCCACCGTACACATTACTTTTCTCTCATTGGCCTCTTCATGAAGCTAAAATATTATTAGTGATCTTGCTTATGCAGAGTCTTATAGCTAGCACTAGGCTGCTTTTTTCCCCACCCCACCAGGTTACCAGTTTACTTAACCATGAATATTTTAGGGTATCAGAGAGTAATGTGTGTTTTAATGTGGTATTTTATTGAAACATCAAAATGCTTTTTTCTCGTTTGGCCAGTCATTGTGTTTTTATAGCACATAATCGGCTGCCCTGGCTCCATTGGCCCGCCACCCGCTCCTCCTCTATTTCTAAGCCAAGCTTAGTTATTCTGAATTGTGCAATGAAATTTCAGTAGTTTCTATTGTTTGGCTTATTCCCTGTTTTATTGCATTGCATTAGTTCTAAAAAAGAGGTGATGGAAAGCATCAGAGTATATGGCTGGACCATAGTACTTTTTTTCGGCTTAAGTGTAATACAAGCAAGTGCTACTGATTTGAAAATATAAAATAGAATATTTCTTAAAACTGACATTCTGAAGTTCTTAAAATACATATCCTATACTTGGCTAATTATAATTTTTTGTCAAGTCACAAATAATTCTCATAATGTCTCTCATTATATGCAGGTTTATTGAATATGGAGAATATAAAAACAACTACTATGGCACCAGTATAGATTCAGTTCGGTCAGTGCTAGCTAAAAACAAAGTTTGCCTGTTGGATGTTCAACCTCATGTAAGTAAAAGAAATGAACTATTCACCACCTTTCTGGCCCTTGTCATCTACTACACTTCATGAGAGGATTTCAGCGTGGGGTACTTTTAAAGTCTAATCACTTTGGGCACATAAATGGTTTTTCTAAGATTACAAAAGCATTTAAATATAATAAAAAGCCTTTTTGTATTCAGAAAATAGCCTTTAGTTAAAAGTGGAGCGATGCCGAAAGATCTGTTTTCTGTTTAGTTTTGTCAAGTACAATGAGTGCTAAATATCTTGTATTTTTTAACAAAAACATTTTGCACTATTATTTTAAGTGCCTATAACATTAACAATTAACCTTATCGTTCTAAGTGTATCTTAGGAGTGTCAACCAATCAGTGAAGCCTGAATAGCATCTCACAGGAATTATAATGAACGAGCAGCCATTGGTCTGGCTTTGCCTTTCACTCTGGCCTGACATTGTCTGAGAGTGAAACTAGCGAGTTCTCTCATGCCACCTATCCTCCAATAAAGAATGGCCCTCAGCCTTTTTTCACTCAAACCACAGATTCACCATGGGGATGTGCCCTACTTATAACCTCCAAGTGCCAAAATGGCAAGGAGAAGCCCCTACATCCCTTCAGAGAAATCTGGAGTGTAAGGGTACCAAAGCTTATCAGGCAAGTTGACTCCTGACCCAGACACCCACAATTAGTGGAAGAATTCTTGTGAAGAAACTCTGCTGGTGAACTGTAATCAACTCAGGAAGATAATAGAACTACCCTGCGGGGTTTCTGAGGCTGAACATCTTTACAGCAGAGGCCTACCTCATCTCACTTCTACTACAGGGTGGCTGGTAGCTTGGAACCAGTATAAATGTGGTTAACAGCTGAACCCTTACCCCCCTGTGTTACCAGGGTTGTCACTGCAGTTACCTCAAATGTGCTTCTAGCCTTCCTTACCCAGCCCTCACCACTACTTTCACACTTTCTTCATGTTTACACACAGCCTCTCTACCTAGTAACTTTTCAGTGGAATTATTCATATTCTAGACAGGTTCTTCCCTATAAGTTTTAAAAAAACAAACAAAAACACCAATCCCCCTTACTAGCAATCACTCTTGATTATAGATGAGTAAAGACTGAACAATGTGAAATATTTGATAAGAGACTATTGATACCTTCATAGTGAGTTGGAACCAGCCCTTTACAGGAACTCTGAAGAGCAGAAAGGTGGCAAGGAAAAAGTTTGAGTTGACGATTGCAGTATTTATATGTATAGAAGACTTTCTATGTACCAGCCAACACCCTTTGAGCAATTATAAAAATCCATTTCATAGCATGGTTAGCCACTTCTGTTCACCATTACTTATAGTACATTTCAAAGTATTTGTAAATGCGGCTTCCATTCTCCAGGCCACTTTTCAGAGTTCTTTATTGCATTTAATTGTCAACATTACCTTGAACAATAACACAGGAAAAACCCACTGACCTTAATTAAAAATATCTTAAGGATTTCCTCAGAAAATACCATGTTGTTGTATACTAGCTCATAATATTATAAATACAGTGTTGGGTATTTTTTTTTTCCTTGCAGACAGTAAAGCATTTAAGGACACTAGAATTTAAGCCCTATGTGATATTTATAAAGCCTCCTTCAATAGAACGTTTAAGGGAGACCAGAAAAAATGCAAAGATTATTTCAAGCAGAGATGACCAAGGAGCTGCCAAACCCTTTACAGTAAGTGGCGATGGTTGGCAATAATATGTAAGCAAAGCTTGAAGCAGGTGTGTGGAGGCAGCCACCTTGGAAAAGCTGCAGTGTTTGATGTTGTGAGCCAACATCTGGAAAAGATAGAATTGTGTTTTGCTATGTATGTTTTGAATGATTGCACCTATGTACATTTTGAATGCTTGCACTAGCATTGCCTTTTGCACATCTATAGATCTTCATAGGAAATTCACTCAAAAATGTGTAGTATCATATATATATATATATATATATATATATGAATATTTTTGAGGACTATTCATTGTTATAAAACTCCTACCAATTAGTTTCAGACTTGCTTTCTATTTAAAGCAAAAGGGGGAAATATGCCCAAGTCAGTTACTATTACTCGTGAAAACTAGAAGTCTAAATGTAAAAAACATAATTTGCCTTTTTTATTTATCCCCATGCATTAATAATCAGATTTAAGAGAGTGCAAGAAGACTTGTATTGTTATTCAGTAATATTTCTGTTTAGGGATGGAGTTTGTGGAATGCTAATGACTATAATTGCTTCTGGCAAAGCTTTTCATTCTGTTTTTTTCTTTTGTCTCAAAATAATATACTCTACCTTTGGATCAAAACTAAAAGGCAAACATTTCATTCCCAGTACTTGATAAATCTTCCCCGCTAAAAAAAAATACAAAGTACACTCATGCTGACTAGATATAATCATGATGTTCATTATTCCGTGCTCATAATTAACAGTGAAGTGAAATTTTCTATTGTGAAATTTTACGTGACATCAAAATGTGGACTTTGAAATTATTTCAGTATGTTTGAATATAAAGGGTTTTATTGTATACTATTTATAAATTGAAAGGGTATATTTTTTCCAGATAATAAATGGTAACATATTCTTAGGATTTGGCTCACTTAAGTTTATGCATATAATTATATAGTCTTGACTAATATAGCCAACTAAAATACTTATTGGTTTAAAAAAGGTGAGTGTGAATGGCTCCTGCACCACTTCTGAGGGCAGTAGGGAGGGCATGGTAACTATCTTTTTATAAATGCGTCCAACTGTGAAAAAGTGGTGTATAAGTTGCTGGCTGTTATGCAACTGGTCAGAATGTCAGCATAAACAGTCCTGTCACCGCCTATTTTAATAAAGAAATATCTCAATTATGCTAAGTTAGTGACTGATTTTCCAGATACTCAGAGAAGGTAGAAGATTTGGTCTTGTCAGAGCAGTCAGTTAGGAGCAAATCAGAAAGATGTTACTTAAAAAATTGTGACTGCCAGGGAACTCATGGTAAAAGAGAGTCATTTTCATTTCTGGTTCAGGTGAAGGAATGAACATGAGACAGCATTAGGTAATCCAGCTGTAAAATGTTTGCATTGATATGAAGTGATGTCATTGCTTGGTTAACCAATTTTAAAAATACTTCCCTTTGTAGGAAGAAGATTTTCAAGAAATGATTCAGTCTGCACAGATAATGGAAAGTCAATATGGTCATCTTTTTGACAAGATTATAGTAAATGATGATCTCACCATGGCCTTCAACGAGCTCAAAACAACTTTTGACAAATTAGAGACAGATACCCATTGGATCCCAGTGAGCTGGCTTCACTCATAACTGAGGAGAAGCACCATAGCCTGCTTTTCTAAAGACTGCATGATTAACATAAATTCAGTTACCATTTTGGTGGTAGGGTTTTTACAGTCCACATCACTGTCCTTAATGTCCCATGTCAGTTTTGTTTCTATCTTTTCACAGCCTTTTTTCAAGTCTGATGTGTGTATTGTTCCAAGATCAAAATGTGTACAGTACTATGTTCTAAGTACAACTTTGAGCCATCTGGTTTTCTCTAATATAGTTCACTCTCTAACATGAGTGCACTAAAGAGAAGCAATAAGAGACAAAAGAACGAAGGAAGCTCCGTGCTCTTTTGGATGCTATCAAGCTTGCATGCTAGCATTTGAAGATACTAATAGTTCCACAGAGATAGGACATTTACTCTATTTTCTAGGCAGATCATCACAGATTTAACTGGACTGGCACTAAGAAGAGGTCCTTTCATTGAAGATGTGAGATTTTTCTTACATATGCTTAAGGTGTTGACAGTGTGTGCATTTCAAAAGCTTTCTTTAAGGAAACTACTGAAAATTTCCCTTGAGTAAGTCACTTGCACATTATAGCTTGAAACATCCTTGAGTACATTTCAGTGACTCAACAAATATTTAGGAAGGTCAGATAGACTTTTAAAAACTATTATGCACGTAAACTTTAAAACCTTTCCTTGGGATGTTACTCTCAGTAAGAATGGTGGTATCTTAGTGGTAAGTAGTGGTCATTTTTATTTATAAATCCTAAGAGGACATTCTGGAATCCCTGAAATGGTTTTCTTTAGCTGCCTTTGAATTTTCCAAATAAATTATAAAAATGTATTTATAGCATAAAAGACACATTACTGGTGTGGTTAAGAAAATGTCATTTGGGAAAAAAAAATACATCCTTGATCACTAAGATGTATTTTAGAAAACCTGTAATGTTGTTTATCATTAAAGTGCTATCTAACACTGACCAGGTACCACCCTAACCTTGCCATTTAAAAAGAAGTTTTTTAAAGAACTTTATAATGTAAATATTTAGATGGGATCTTTCCTTTTTCTTCATACTACTGATCATTAGGAAATGAATTTTATAGTTCAAAATACTAGAAATGTCTATTAACTGTATAGGAGAACACCCCCTATAGTTTTTGCATGCATAAGACCCTGCCAATCAAAAGTCATTGCATTGGTGACTTTAAAAGAGAAAGGAGAAACTATATATATATATATATAATTTTATGTTGATTTGTAAAGACTGTAGATGTCATGTTTAAAGGAAAATAATATCTAGTGAGATTTTATATATTTATGAACTATCTGAAAGGCATATTTTTTTAATTATCAAATGGGGCTGTTCATAAATTGATTATATGTAAAGGTGTCATAATTTAAAGTAGTGGTTTTATAAACCAGAGTCAACATTCCATGTAAATATTTGATCTTGATTTGTTCCCTGGCAGATCCACAAGGGTGTTATGTCTACACTGCATATGCGATCATGTCAATTACTGGATTCCTCCAGGTGTGTCAGAGTAGATACTAGAAACAGAACACTCCCACCACTTTGACAGACTTTCTCTCCATAAGAGACAATTAGACTACATATTACTTAACACTTACTGTTTGGATTATGTTGTTGATAAAGTTTTTAAATTAAATAGCAAGTTATTTAGCTTTGAAAAGCAGGGAATACATTGCTAAGTTTGTGTACTAGAGCCATAATTTAAAACTGCATAGCTCATATTAAGAAGTATAATTCCCAAGTTGATGGTTGAGATAGAGCATTATTTTCTCTGAATGTTGTCTAAAATTTCCTACAAATTCAAATTTAGTTTACAAAGAATGGAAAATTGTAGAATTAGATAATCATTGAAAGAGTTTAGGAAGTTCAAATTCTGAAATACCGATATTGGTTTGTTTCGGTTTTTTTTTTTTATCATTTGCTGATAATTGCCTCAGGTCTTATTATAGAAGTTGATAGAGCTTAAGGTGGTGGAAATTGGCTGTTTCTAGGATGAGGCAGCTTGAAAAATAGTGCTTTTCAGATTTATCTCCCTGTTTAGATAAGAACTGATATTTTTAAATTTTTTTTTATAACTGGGGGGGGGGAAGTGGACATGGGCAATTTGATAAATGCCTTATCAGATATTATACAGCCTTGAAAGTTAAATAAATATACATGGTTATTTTGATGCTTAAGAGATCTAATTAAAATATAAGGCTGGGCCAATTCCAACAACTTGTTAATTACTGGAACAAGAGGCCTTTGATGCTGTATTTTACTTCCGCATAAACAAGGGGGTAGTAGCATTAAGTTTCTTAATGATTCTTTTAGCCGCCTGGTCCCAAAATGTCAGCCAGATATTAACACAAGTGAAATATTTAGTGCAAGTCCGTGTATTGAAAGGCCACAACCAATAAGTACATTCTCCCGTTACTAATAAATTTAAAATAGAAAGATAAAACTAATGTGTATTTTTTTTACCATAATCTGTTTTCCCAGTATGAAAGTTCTTGATATCCTAAAGCTGACATTCCTTGTCTTCTGTAATAATTGAATGTATTGAAAACATATAAAGTTGACAACCATGTAAACATCTCAGACTTATAGAGCTATATTGTTAAAAGCCTCGTGAAGATCCAGATTTTTATTATTTATTTCCTTCCTGACTAGTAAGAAAATTTCTAAATTAATGGAAAACCTTTGATCTTAATAAAGTATCTTTAAAGTATGTTTGGGTTTACTTGAAAAATGGTTTTGTACTTGGATGTTCTGTCATACTGGTGCTCCTTTACAGCAAATTCTGTCTTACACTGCGATATCGGGTCATTTATTTGCACTGCCATACCTAAACCTACATATTTTTCCAACCAGCCATGTATTGATTTCAGCAATGTTGCAAGTGACCTGCCATTCACTAGGCTTTCTTTTACTATAAAGTACAGAAGTTTAAAGATGTGGGGAGACAGATGGCTCAGGAGCACCCACTCGCCACCTTCTACCACAGTCTCATCATTTCTCATTCATTCTCAACCCCATTGGGAGTGAAGTGTTACACCAACAATGTGAGAGCTATCATCTGCCTATACTGAATCTACTTACAAACCTGATCCATTCTTAAGTGTGTGTTTAGGTTGCATTTGTAGGTAAGTCAGAACAAGTGTATAGAGTTCTTGGTGTGCAAGAAAGAAAAGGAGGCCTAGTCATGCAGCGGTTAAAATACTGAACAGCTAATCCACTGGTCTGTAGTTTGAACCCCCAGAAGAAATATGCTTCTTTAAAGCTTTGTTTCCAGCCTTGGACACTGGGACAGCTCTACTCTATCCTAGGAGTTACTCGGAATCAACTCAAGAAGAGTGGGTTTGGCTTTCATTTTGTCCCCAGAAAAGAATGGCAACAATAATAATAATACTTAAACTCATGGAGTTGGGGGCTTAAAATGAGAGCATCATTTCACGGAAAGCACTTGGGACAAAAGCCTAGGAAAGAAATACCCAGTAAATGTGAGTTCCTGTTTTAGAATGATCATTATCACATTGCACAATTTTAAAATAGTTGTATAAATATTCTTGCTCACCCTACATAAACATTTCCCCACTCTTTTTTTTTAATCATTTTAATGATCATTTACAGAGATTTTGGATTTCCATTCATTCATTGCTGCACTTCTCTCCCCGCCCATACCTCCCCCCTATCCCCTTCGCTCCTCTCTTTCAAAAGTAAAAAAGACTCCCTCCCTGGTACACAATCCCTCCGCACCCTTCCTACCGCCCCAAGTACATTCCACTATGCAACCTTAATTGTGGACTCTTGTGATAACCTTAATACCCTATCATACATCACTTTTAAATTATTCACTCCCTCATCTGTTTCAGTGCAGTATACACAATTTATCCAGTTTTTCTCAGTCTTACCCCAACCCTGATATCAGTCCCATTTTACAACAGTGGCACCATGCAATACTTGTCCTTTTGCATCTGAGATATTTCACTCAGCGTAATGTCCTCCAGGCTCACCCATTTTGAATAATATTGCATGAGTTCCTTGTTTTTCAAAGCAGTGTAGTATTCCATTGTGTGAATATACCACAGCTTCTCTATCCATTCGTTTGTTGATGGGCACCTGGGTTGTTTCCAACTCCTTGCTATTGTGAACAGAGCCACAATAAACATGGGTGTGCATATATCTGTGTGGATGTCAGTTATGGTCTCTTTGGGGTATATTCCCAGTAGTGGAATTTCTGGGTCAAACGGTATCTCTATTTGCAACTTTTTGAGAAAGCGCCATACCACCTTCCACAGTGGTTGCACCATTTTATACTCCCACCAACAGTGAACAAGGGTTCCAGTTTCTCCACAACCTCACCAGCATTTGTTGCTTGCTATTCTGACTGGGGTGAGATGATATCTCATAGTTGTTATGATTTGCATCTCTCTTAGAACTAGGGATTTTGAACATTTCTTCATGTGCTTGTTGGCCATCTGAATGTCTTCTTTGGTGAAGTGTCTGTTCATATCCTGTGCCCATTTTTCTATTGGATTACTTACCTTTATCTTGTTGTGGTGCTCAAGTATTTTATAAATTCTAGATATAAGTCCCTTATCTGACATGTCATTACCAAATACTTTTTCCCAGTCTGTGGCTTCCCTTTTGACCCTGTTGGAGAAGTTTTTGAATGTGCATCTCCCCACTCTTAAGCTTTCCTCATAATTTATATTACTGGCTTTATTTTAAAAATTTCCAATATTACCCCCACAAATGATACATCAAGAACTAATTAGCTAATCCTCAGCAGGACAGTGAATTGAATTACCTTTAACCACTGTGTTTACAATCTACCAAAACAAAAAGCCTGATGCCATCCAGTCAGTCCCAATTTACCATGATTCTAGCAAAAGCAGACCTGCCTCATGGGGCTTCCAAGGCTGAAAATCTTTATACAACCACCCTGCCACCTTTTTCTCGCTTACAGCAGCTAGTGTGTTCAAACTGCCCTTTCTCTTAGCTCAGTATTTAACTCA